GAATGTCGGCGGCCGCTGCCGATCCACTCTCTGCCCGGATATTTTACTATCGATTACCTACGCGAATATCTCGGCATGCGCAACATATCCCGTAGCTTGTTTATGTGTAATGTTATATCGGCGATCGCGGCTGTTCGCGCGCCGGTTTCATTCGTATTTTATGTCCGGATTGTATTACGCCCCGCGCGCGGAGGCGCGAAAGCTCTTACCCGCAATCGGAATAATAGCCAATAAAACCCGTTATTTTGCAATCAACACGAACGCCGGGAGAAAAATGCTTGTTTTCTTCTATGCCGGCTTCGTTAGGTGAAACGAGCGCGGATTTTGCAACGTTTATTGAGAATATAGTAATTAAGCCGAGACTCTATCGCGTTTCGGTAGTAGAGTCGGGCTATCGTAAGCAGTGGCATAGATCGTAATATGGGAATAATATAAACGCGGATTTTCGCTCATAAATGCGGTTATCCCTACAAGTGCTTCAACATAGTACCTTTACTATAATAAATTGGATTATACCTTATCAGATTTTCCTTGGTTAGTCGTTAATTATACCATGCTATTTTATCTTCATTCTTTTATTCTCTCAACTGCTTAGGATACAAATTTATTATAATGATTGACAAATTGTTGCATTTATTTAAATTTTAATTACTAGATTAATTATAAAATGTACTTATTTTTATTTGTTGGGAATTGCATTAATTATTTATACGTTAAATGAAACTTGAATTTTGCACGTGTATTATGCAACGGTGTTAATCGATTTTATGGAAACGCACAGCGATTCTGCTGCGATGTTTTGCATTTGATATCTTTTGCAATTGTGATTTATTCATATTTGATTCATATATATAGCTAAAACAAAAAAGCTTAATAAAGATAGCTTTCGATAATTACATTTAATATGTATTTTTATATATAATAATTCAATATTAATAATTCAGATAATAATTCAGATTTATAAAAAAAAATATAGTAAGAGATTTTGTTGAAAAAACATATTATAATATGTCAGTTAGTATCAATTCTTTACCAATGCTTTGTAAAAAAAAAATGGTATTTATTATATCAGAAAAAATAACACATTACATACTGTATACACACTTACTGTAAACAACAAGTGTGTGTGTTTAATAATACTCGAATTTAAACAATCAAATACAATTTATAATGCAAAATAAATTTTGCTAAATAAAATTAAAAAAGGAAGATAAAAAAATATAATAAAAAATGTATTAACGAGCTGTATATCTTGATTCATTATACATATAATTATTATATATATAATAAAAAAAAAATCATCTTGAAAAGATAAATTTCACAATTGCAAAAGAAATGACAATTCTTTTCGATATCAAGTAAAACGAAAATTTTTGAAAGAATTACTATCAGCTAAAAGCTACAAAGAAAGAGAGGGAAGAGAGAAAGCTTCATTTTAACGAAACAATCGATCTGTATAAATCAATCTATTTATCTCGCTGTATTTAGGTGTGACGTCACTTCTACATGTATTTATACGCGCGCGTCTTTACGGACAATAAATTACTACAGTATCGAGAGCATTCTTATATATATAATAAAAAAAATCATCTTGAAAAGATAAATTTCACAATTGCAAAAGAAATGACAATTCTTTTCGATATCAAGTAAAACGAAAATTTTTGAAAGAATTACTATCAGCTAAAAGCTACAAAGAAAGAGAGGGAAGAGAGAAAGCTTCATTTTAACGAAACAATCGATCTGTATAAATCAATCTATTTATCTCGCTGTATTTAGGTGTGACGTCACTTCTACATGTATTTATACGCGCGCGTCTTTACGGACAATAAATTACTACAGTATCGAGAGCATTCTGCGTAACGAGATGTTGCAACATTTGCATGTTATCTGCCGGCTCTTTTGCGAAATTACGCTCCCCGTTGCGCCCTCAAAAAGCGCAAGATCGAGCTCACAATGGCGTTATCTGCGCTCAGCTTTACCCCAGATGTGGCCGTGTGTGCCTCGGAATTATTTATCGCGCTTAATCACCGATCTTTCTCCGCGACCCTTGGATAGCAGTTAACCCACCATTCTCCGGCTTAATGGCGAAAACAAACAGGCACTCGGCCCGCCGAATATCTTCTCGGGCGAACTAAATGTCTCACGGGCATCGTGCGCCGTACGCGAAATGTCTAATCGTGACGTTCCGCTGTTTGCACGTTATGCCCGGCTATTCCTGCGAAGATGCATTTCCATTTGCCTCTCCTCTGTAATTCCACATGGGAGTAAAAGCGTCGGGTTAGTTGCTTAAGCGACTATCCGAAACGTTATGCGAAACAGAGCCAAGATAATATTAAACGTGACCGGTAAGAGAGAAAGAGAGAGAGAAGGAGAGAGAAAGAGAGAGAGAGAGAGAGAGAAATGTCGAAAAAATGTGTATGCAAAAATTGATAAATTCGATCAAGAGAATAACTTGCACGAGATCCTTCGTCGCGAATCTATTGATCTGATAGCGACGCGTCGATAACGCAACTCCACTGTATATAGCTCAATTCGCCGCGTATATAGCAATGTAGTGCGGGGTCGTCTACCCTCTAGCAACATTATAAATCCATTTAAGTTTGTAGGTGCTACGCAGGGGAAAACATTATGTGTTTCTTCGCGTCTCGCGAAAGCGCATTCTATGCGACACATGTTTCATGCATTTTTATCCCATTTCAAGGGGCAGAGCGTTACGTGCGCGATGCATCTACATTATGTAAACGTTGTTCTCACGCTAGATTATTTATTATACTAATTACGAAATTGCGGCCCTCTCTACTTCCACAGAGCTAGCTCGACGGCGCGAATAAGTTTACTTTGAAATAAGTTGTACCGTAAACGGGGCCAGCCTCATCTTTACGCGAGACGTTCAATGAAGTTTATCGGAAGCATTTAATTCAATACACACACACGCACACATACATAGATTGAATTAATTTAACTCGCGTGGGACAGTGCACTTTCTTCTTTACGCGATCGGTTTCTCGGGTAGAAGACAAAGAGAAGAGTGTGCAGGAAGATAGTAGTTGTCTCTTCCTTTCTCTCTCTCTCTCTCTCTCTCTCTCTCTCTGCTTTGCATGGAAATAGGGACTGGTTTTACCTTTAATCGCTCTCCTGAAATAGGATTCGAAGCATCTCGAAATCGACAAAAAGACGGCAACGAGACTACCGATGACCGCAAACTTTTCGAGTGGAAAAGATTATATCGCCCCTCTCGTATTTCAACAGCCGAATTTGAAAATATTCGCGGCTGCGCGAATAAAGCATTTTTCGATCTGGCAACGAACATTTATAAACTTGTCTCATTCAACTTGTCTCCCTCTGTTTCATTCAAACGAACGAGCGAGAAATATGAATGTTAAAAAAATCAACTCGCGTCGCAATCGTAACTCTGGCACTCTACTTTTTATCAGCTGCAAACGCATAATCCTCATCACTGTTCATTGTCTAAGAACATAAGTCTCGCGAGGTAACGCGACGAACATGAAAACAATGCGTGCTGTTTGACTCTCATCTATTAGCAATGTTAATACAATCGAATTAATAGCATTTATATTGAAAATCCTGTACATTATATGCTGCGGCATTGTTCACGGTAAAATGCTCTATAATAAACACTGACGGAGACATAATCAATTATGCTAATTGTGATAATAATTATATACAATGATGGATTTGCCACCCTGCATAAGGACATGGTTGCATTCACGTGAATGAAATTTTCAGCTAATTTATATGAAATCTAACAATTAATATTTGTAATATATATTATTTGTCATTATCAATTATACAGATGATAATCTCATTTTCATTAGAGTTTATAACGCAGATAATAACAAAATCGCATTTTTTAAGACAATCTCTTTGATTATTCTTTCGATAGATTCAACTCGCAATTGTCGATGCTTAGTCAACTTATTTTTTTACGTAAATCAATGACACGCTATAGCTTGAAAACTATAGCGGAGTTATACCGAAACGGAAACTGCTTAAACAGCAAAATATCTCCCCTCGAGAGGCTAAAACGAATGGAGATATACTATTCGTATAGGCTTAATCTGGGGAAAATCTGTCTTCAAGAAAATATATCCCTCATTCTTTCGATATCTTATTCAATAAGAAAACACAATAGAACAGAGATATCTTTTTGCTCAGCAACAAATAGTTTTTGAAGATATTTTTATATTACATTATTTATATCAAATTGTATATTTTTGTCTTATGCATTTATATACGTAAATCAAAAAGATATGATTAATAATATCAAATTATTATTGTAATGTTAATAACAAATTTTTAATAAGATAATCTTTTTCTATAATTATTAGATAACTCTCTTATAATTATAATAGAATAAAGTAATATATAAGCTATACAAATAATATATATGCCAATAGATTGTATAAAAAATAGGTTTTCTAGATTAAAGTTTTGAAAAGTAACAGCTGTATAAATCTTATTTTAATTACGGTTATTTAAATTACGTATTTTTTTTTTAATTTTTTTTTGAAATATGTCAAAAGTTTAATGAATGTCTTAAACTTTCAAGTTGACACTTCCCATCATTTATGAAAAGCCGATCAATTGCAAAACAAGTTTGCACAATCAGTGATCGATAAAGCATTAAATCACGTCACAAAGTTTTAATTCGCGGACTGAAAAATTTACCTAAATTATTTATGGCCGTCCCACTTTCCGACCGACTCGGTGCTTAATCCATCGAATCATATTCAAAGATATCATCCACCAATAAAATGCATCGCGACTATTTACAATATATAAAATTTTACGAGAATAATACACGAGCAAACTATTCTGTCTGAATTTTTCTTGTTGATTAATCGCGATTGTCGTATATTATGAATCATGTTAAATAATATTTTTCACACTCAAGCAAAATGTGTTATGTATATATAGAGATACAGACTACATTCGATCAAACACCCCTCGCAACAATATATTTTTTTTATTGTTTGCAGGTGCAACAGGTTTGAAAGATCTGAAGATAAACGTGCCGCCTATGGTGAGATCAGGCGATACCGTAACGCTGTCATGTAATTATGACTTGGAAGGCTCATCCTTGTACACTATACAATGGTTCTTCGATAGTGTTGAATTTTATAGCTACATACCCGATCGCAATCCACCGCTTAAAATTTTCGATGTCGGCATACTAGTCAACGTGAGTAATTCATCTCAATAACTACAAGTTAAAATACTTTTTAAAAAATTAAGAAATTTATTAACTTTATGATATATAAAAACTCTTATATGTACGTTTACCTACATATTTATATTTATATCTATCTATAATATGAAATGCTTAAAAAATGCTCTCTTCATATATTTATTACATAGTATTATATTATATGTATATTATTTAAACTTTAGGAACAATTGGCGTAGAATCAAATTAAAAAGGAATGATCCTAAACTATTAAATAATCAATAAAAAACGCGATAAGATTTTATCTTGTATATACTAGTATTTATTTAAATTAATAACAAGGAGAAAGTTATCGCGAGTTATCTTGATTATATGCCACTTTTCAATGCCTATAAAAATCTTTTTTTTTTTCATAGCACTTCATAAAAATCTATTACTAATCTTGGTTATTATAACGTTCATTATACGGATGATGTTCACCTCTACTTAAACTTATGAACAAATTTCTAATAACAGATATCATTCTATAATAAATAAAATTAAAGTTTTAATTTATATCCATTTACTATCGTAACCATTTTTCCAAATTTTTACCAAATTTTCTTATATTTAAACTTTGTTATTGATATCCGAAAATTTCAATAAAACAATCTACACGATTTGGATAATATAAAGAAACTTTAAATTTGATTGATAACGTCTTACAACTGTGTTTTAAATCACAACATTGTTTTAAATCCAACGTTCTTGCTGTGTACGATATGTATTATAAATTGTATTTCCCGAGAGAGATGCGCGGGAGTATCGATGCACCGTAAGATCCATTTATCAAACGAGCGCTCTCTTTCGAAGAGTCGTCGAGATAAGAACTAAAACCTCCGACTCGCGATTTTTGCGCTCGCGAATAAACGACGGGCTATCGTTTTTGCAACTCGCGCGCGCTTGATCCGACCGTAATCTATTTTTCCGCGGAAAACACAGCCTCCGCGCAAGTAGATTCGATAAGAGAGAAGATCTGGACCGCACTCTCTTGTCCGACGAAACTTCTTGTCGCTCCCTGGGACACGTCCTTCACATCCCTCTCCGCATCTTTTCTAATCTCCCATGCATCGGGACGCCCCCATTTTTCCGCTGGCATGGCCACGACGGGGGGGCAAAAGTTTCTCCCGTGAATGCAGGGTAAAGTAGGGTAGAGCGTAAGGAATCGATAGGCTGATTTATGGCGTGTACCACGACCGCGACACGGCTTGAACCTGGGTCAAGCGAGTTCTGTGTTTTACTGACGTCGATTCAACGCCGCCGCAATCGCGACTTCGCTCGCTCCCCCTTTCCTCCCTCTTTTTTTTTTTGCGTCCGTCGAGAGGAAAGGTGCGACTCTTCTTAAATTTCCTGATACTCGAGAAAATAGAATCCCACTTTCCGCAAGGGAGCACTCGGCGCGAAAGCAATATCCTGTAGGTTTGTATAACGCTCTTCGCATCTGCCATGTGTTTGCGCTTATTGAATATATATGCAAAGTGCGAAAAAAGTTTCTCGCGATACCGGCAATAATGCATTTTACAATCAATCATATTTAGTTCGTTGCTTTAATAAATGCGGCTTAATTAAGAGCGGCTTAAAAAATCTTTATATAACCAAAATCCTAATATTAAAAAATAATTCTTAAATGAATTCCCAAATTTCCAATTCATAGATTTATCGAAGCTAACAGTCATTCAATAATTTCGTCATTATCAACATTTATTAACTTTAAATAATATATTCTTTTCATGTAAAATTAACATTTAGAAAATTTAAAAAAATTAATATTTAAAAGATAAGTATTAACTTTTCTGTGGCAAAAAATTAATGTCTTCATTTAAAAAAGAATACTAAATAACCAATATACATATAAAAGAACAATTTTTAATTAATTATTCGCTAGTGCTTTTACCCAATCTCTTTTCACAAATTTCACAGTGTGCGATATAATCCAAGTAATAAATATCTTAGGCGAAATAGCGTAAGAAAGACGTATATATAACTTTGGTAGAGCGTGTACATTTAATAGCGTCCAGCGCTGGCTTCCTTTTTGCTTCCTATCTCGTTGCCCTTTGTCCGACGACTCAAAGGAAGCACGCCGAAGTCCGGTAGGAAAATACTCTCGTGGGACCTGCGACGTGCTTTACTGATAATTACCGCCAAGAGGCGGTCGCGAAGCGCGCGAAAGCGTAAACTTTATTGAACAGAACTTTAGAGAGAAGAAAACGCAAAAGCATAACTTGGAGAAGAATGACGATTGAAAGAATGACGCAAATTATGCAGAGTGTGAAAAAGAGGTATCAGTGTAAGAAAACACAATTGAATAAAATCTCATAGAAAGCGAAAAACTTAATGAATGAGAGCGTAAATGAGGACGCGAGAAACGAAAACACAAGAGGGTGGAGGGAGAAGTAATCAGAAAGCGACGCGAAAATACAGCGGCGAAGACGCGAGGTGACACTTGCATGAAAAGTGTCGGGAGACTCTGCACAGTTTAAGATATTTCTAGATACGGGACGAACAGAGATGAGATGAGAGGAGAAAACGATATGGAAAGCGGAAACTATCGAAAGAAGCTATTGCGAAGTAACATCGTCGCGACGTTACGGAGCTTTATCCAACGCAAGGCGGTCTTCTCAATTTCTTCCCTCGAATCGCGACAATAAGGATTCCATTTTTCCAACTGCCTGAAATTCTGCATGGATTCCGGAAATTCTGGTATTTTACGGGATTCTTGATCTGCGCGCTTTAATGTAATTGTAAAAACGACACACGTTGGAATAAAATTTTTCCATTAATCTGCTTAAATATTTATTTTTCAGGAAGGTTATTTTATTATTTGTCAAAAGATTTGAATAGAAAGCGATTATAAAAGCGTAAACCGTAGTATCTTATATCAGTAATATTCTGTGATGCATAGTTTCTCCGAAACACAATTTAATGAATGAATATTAATTCGGAAGTGACTCCTCCATGAATTATATGACATTATGGCGAGACGAACAGTTTCGCCTCGCTCGAATATAGCAAGGCGTTCAAGATTTAAGCTCGACTCGAGCTGGGATAGATAGGAAGCGGGGAATTTTCATAAACGTATAAAGCATCTCAAGTCGGTAGGTAACTATGCGCGGTTGCATGTAATCTTTATAACGATGAAGAATTTACAACGTTTGCGCGCGCTACGACAGACAGCTGACAGGTGGATTTGAAAACGTTTTCGCGATCAGCTGATGTATTGACAGTTCCGAAATTATCGCGATTATAAAATCCGATGCGTCTCTAAACGGCTGTCACTATGTAGCACAACCGCGCCGATAATATTCTCCGTTTAACCCCATTTAACAATATCCCTCTTGCCGATCATTACCGCGTTATCGCCGAGCTAAACTCGGGGGAGAAATATCTTTGCACGTGAAACATTTCGTAGTACGTGAAACTCGATCGCTGCGCGTTCGTAGGCGTCCGAAGATTTAGGGTAATAATTTTTCACTATTCGATTAAGTTTTCTATCGTCTATCCCGATTGGCTCGTATATCTCCACAACCCGAGTACTTTCAGTCGATATAAGAATAGGCGATATTTGTTCCACGTGAGTCATGGTCCGTAATACCATGTAACGGTACTGAGCTATTGTTACTGAGATGTAATCGATGAATTGGGAGCAAATAGCTTGCTCGTATTCTTCGTCACGTTTTAACGAATACAAAGAATAAAACTTGGAATATTTGTGTTCTTAAGAGGAAAAGCTGTTTTATTAAATTTAAATTTTAAATATATAAAAATAAGCTTAAGTATAAATGTAATATATTTTTATAAAAATAAATGTGTTTAAAAAACATTTTTCGATTTCATTGCGTTAGAGATTTTCACTGTATAGTTGGATTAAATGATACAAATTATGTATATTAATAATATGCAAAAAAGTTTAATTCATTGTTGATTGTTTAAAACAAATACTTCAACAGCATTAAAAAATTTTGCGACACTTTATCTTTCTTGTTGTATTCGGAAGCAATGTTGACGCAACGAGCATTAGCGCAATTCCTATATTATTTCTATTCATATTTAAATCTGTAGACTCGAACGTGTGTATGTGTATTTGCTCATGCAGCCTCATCTAATCGGGAATATAGAACGCGCTCAGAAAAATAGGGAGCATGTTCACACTTTTCATAAAGGAGGTAACGCGTGGCTCTCTCTCAGTTTCCGCTCTGGCGGATCCGAATAGTCGCGGCTGCAATCCTTTTCAATGATATTTTTCATCGACCGTCTCGTCCACGCCGATGCCAGAAGCGGAAGAAACGATGAAAAAGACTTGTCCCCTCATCCGATATAGTTTGTAAAGGAGGCGGAGACGTTCGCCGCGATGAATATAAATGCCTACGAAGAGCAAAAGAACGAAGCCGCAAAAAGAAACGGGAGCAGACGCAGGCGGATCGCACGAATCAGATTTAAAAGATTCGGATGTAAAATCGATCAGTGGTACAAAATGCGGAGCAATATCAGAAGAGTGCTTAATATTAGGAGGATTCGACGCGGAGAGACATTGAATGAGAGGGACAGAGGCAGATTAATTTAATGCGAATTTAATATTTCGGAGATATTTATATGACACGTGAATAAATCTACTTTAACTTTATTTCCGCTTAAAACTCGTTGAGCGCATTTTTATGTATCTTTATATCGAGGAAACAAAAACGCTATTCGAAGTTCTTGTGATTGATATGCAAATTTTTCTGGCATATTTGAAAGTAGCATATGAAATTGACTAAGCTGTTAACTTATTTTTGCAAAAGTCATACACGAGTTTTGAATCAATGATGTCACTATAATCGATATTGCAAGACAAGAAACTTCTGTCTTTTGTTCTTCGGCATCTAAGAGATAGCTAAAATGCTTTCTGCAAAGATGTATCAGTAAAAAATTCTTATCTCTGCGCAGTAATCTATATCTCGCATCGTAAGGGTTTCTCTCTCTTCGAGCGCCTGTAAAAGCACTTTGAAGAATGTCGTTTTGAAAGGAATCCTCGCGAGAACGGCGTTACTTTAGTGACAGTTTTACTAGGGATTCGTACTATTAGCAAAGTCAGTTGAATGCGCGATCGATACTTATTATCGTTTTCTCTCTTTTATCCTACACAGAATCAATAAGACAGAGTAACTACTAAGTACAAACACGATTGATTCTGATGTCTGATTCAGTTTTCTGTCGTCTTTTATTATTTCGTGATTACAATATTCTTATCGTAGAACGAAATAAAAGAACGTTAACTATCTAGAAGCGGTGGATCATTCGTAATGAATATTCCTTGCATCTTATTCATTACTTCCAACAAACTTTCTCTCAACTGTAGATTACCGAGCCTAAAGTTTAATTGAAGCAACATTAAAAATGTTAAAATTGTCGTAACATTTGTTAGATTTTCGTATAAATTCTTAATATCAGGTCTACCGGAAAGTTCTGTCCGTTTTTGGAATAAAACAAAATACAAATTTCTATTACCGTCAATAAACTTTATTAAATAACGTAATTGCCATTATTCGGAGAAGTATTGTCAGCAACTGGATAATTTAAATACAGCAGTCCAAGAAAAGAGGCCGCCGATGTTCAATAGGAAGAACATCATACCGCATCATGATAATGCCAGGCCACATGCTGCTTTGGATACTCGTCAAAAAATTGCAGAACTAGGCTGGAAAATTCTGTCGCATCCACCATATTCCCCGGACTTAGCACCCTCCGACTATCACTTGTTTTTGTCCTTACAAAATTTTTTGAGGGGCAAAAAATTCAAAAATGAAGAAGATATCAAACAAGCACTGGTTCAATTTTTCGCATCAAAAGATAAAACATTTTTCGAAAAAGGGATATACAAATTGCCCTCACGCTGGCAAGAAATCATTAATAATAATGGCAATTACATTATTTAATAAAGTTTATTGACGGTAATAAAAATTTGTATTTTGTTTTATTCCAAAAACGGACAGAACTTTCCGGTAGACCTAATATATAGATAGTGCAAAAATAATTTCACGCTGGTAAATTATCGACGTCAAAATACTTTCTCGCATAGATAGTTAGAAGATCGCGATTACGAAAGCGTCCCTAACTATGTATATTGATGTGAATCTGGTGCATGAAAAATGGCGGAACTTTTCGTACCGTCGTAAAAAGAAAAACTGTGGTGGTAGGTAGAGAGAGAATCGTAGAGTGGAGGATTATAGGAAATAGAGAGGGTGGAGCAGCAGACGGCAGAGGGCATAGGTGGAACACAGTACATCGGATTTCACGTTTTACAGGATTCCGCATCGAACGCGCACGATGTGACATTGATGAACGTGTCCAGGCTACTTACCGGGACGTACAAGTGCGAGGTATCAGCCGGCAGTCCTTCCTACCACACCATGATAGCGAGGTCCAAAATGGAAGTAGTCAGTAAGTGTATGAATCATCAGGAATAAAAAACTTTTTATTTTCATTTTCTTTCGGGAAAGATAAATTTGCCGTTTTCGGATTGTCCGCAATACACACGCGTTCTGTTTCCATTTATCACGGCATTCGATTTCAAAGCGGCGATACATTTCGTAAGTACATATGAGGATCAACGACCAGTTTTAATACCGGTTTTAAACAAGATCGATATAGCTTATAAATCAGAAACAAGAAAAATCACGGCGTAATGTAGATTATAAATTGTTAAACGAAATGCGGAGCAACAACGGCGTCGAGGGATCCGTCGTTTGGACGCACTAGCCCCCGTCGCTGATAGCGAACATGACGGGGTCGTTAGTCAAGTGTTTCCGCTAGTACGCCCTCGGCACCGTTGGCGTATCGCCAGATGTCGAGTTAGTGCCGTCGTGCAGCAGTCGCATGTGCTAAACGACATAATTATTATGCCTTAGACGCCCCAAAAACGGATCCTACGATTCGTACCGAGAAGGAGCGCATAGCGGTGGGGGAGACGCTACGAGTCAACTGCTCCTCAGGCGAGTCCCGACCAGCCCCCGTTGTTACATGGAAGCTCAACAGGGATTCCGTAAGTATCGTCTCTCTCGCAAGCCCGCCTCGTCATCTTACCCTATATACGTCTTCGTAGTCGCAGTTACGTGACCTTACTGGATGATTAGAGTTGCACGCCGAAGACTCGGGCCTCCCCGCCTATTCTATTCTGTTGTGTTTCGACCCTTCATCCCCTCGTTCTATTACGTTCCGTATTGTTCACTCGAGGCTTCTCTGCTTCTCTCCTCGGTACCGCAGTAATATCGAGGTACCAGCGTTGCGGGATTTACGCGAAAGAATCGACGCGCCTGACGCCGCACTGTAACGAATTTGTAGCACGTAATATGATTTTGTATGCGAATTATCTTGTAGAAAGAAATAATGAAGTTAATGAAAAAAAGTTATTAAAGAATTTTTAGTGAAGCTATGATCAATCAAGAAAAGTTACAAAATACAGTAATGTAACTATCATATTGGGAAGTTAACTCTACATAAAAAAAATTATCTTACTACAGAAAAAGAGAGAGAAGTTATGGATAACAAGCAAAAAGTGAAAAGAAACAGAAATTCGAAAAAATAAAGAAACAAAATCTTACAATGCTTTGGTATTTTTTAGGATTCTATAAGAATCACAATGTTTTTTATTAAAAATATGTATTCACGTAAAACGTGAATATTGTTTAAAATATCTCAAAAGTTTACTGACATAATTTAATATTGAAATTTAATAAAGGATGATTTATAGTTACCGTCGTTTTGAAACATTTTGTGCACGTCCGTATGAGCAACACGCGATTGTTAATAAACTAAGTCCGTGAACGGAATTTTGTTTTTAGATTATTAATCTGTGCATTGCATTTCGCATGATATTAATTAAGGTATATAAATATGAACATTAATTTTATCAATAAATAATTTTTGAATAAACACAAACGTAACTTTCTATTATAATGGCCTTAATAAATTCTACTTTAAATTTCAAAATAACTTTTACGATAAATGTTTTTTACTATAGAATAAAAAGCAAAGCAAAAAATATATTTTATAATATAACTGTGCATTAAAATTATCAATTACTTTTATATATAATTGTTCATAAGTTATTTCCAATACAGATATTTATGTTTCCAATGCAATAATACGCTACAAAGAGTATGCAAAATTAATTTACAGAAATTAGCATTTCGCGTTTGAATACATCTGATTTTCGACGTCGCTTCATAACAACTGCGCGAGCAAATTATCGCTTTAATATTCTGATAGCGCGTATACATTACACAAATACATATGTATGTATATCTTTTGTATATTTTACGTACATGCTTGTGTTCAATCAATCAAACATTTTTTTATCACTGTACGTATATATATATATATATATACATATATTGCTGAGAAATAATTTTTACATGTGATGATTCTCGTATGAAAACTTTTATACATAACTTCTTGTGTAAAATATTGTACTTTCAAATAGATCTCTTTCATATCAAAGCATGTATACACTTGTCATTGGTCCAATTGTCGTCATAGATGCGAGCTCAAGCTCACTTTATTGCTATTCGTTATTCATGTAGTTTGCCATCGCATGTGAAAACGCTCGGAGGTCCATCCAATGTGAAATATTCTCTCACAAATATCCAAAAATCTATGAACAGTTTATTTTAGTTGCAAACACTTTACATAAATGTAAAAACTGCAAATATTAATTAAAATAAAATGCATATTATAGATATAAATGACAATGAGTAGCACATGCATCTCTTTTTCTCTCTTTTATAATTATTAATAATTTGTCGATATTATAGGCGTATTATAGATGATTATTTTAAGTGATGCAAATCAAAGATATATACGTGTTAAACGATCAATTAACAATAAAAACGTACCGGATCCATCGTTTCATAAATCTCAAGAAACCTTCAAATAGAAAATTCTTGCGTATGCTAACAATCTATAGAGCCCTCCTGTTGAGCGCAATGTCAGACAATTGCTCCAAAGAGTATTGAGAGAAATAGGAAACAAATAAAAAGGAAATGGAGAGAGAAAGAAAGAGAGAGAAAAAGAAAAACAAGTAGAGTAAGTATATTAAACGTATAGTTGCGCTCTCATCCGTATCATCGAGTGGCAAATCGATTGGCAAAATTTTATCCTTGATGCCTCGATTAAAACGTCTGAAGTGTACGTTATCTCGCTAGATTGCATCCTGCTAAATTACCTCTAGATCGGCATTAACTGCGTTAATAAGTTATGTGCTTTTACTTGCAGTATTTCAGGGCTTGCGCGTAAGACCAGCCGCTTTATGACTTAATTCAGCTTTAATCGCATCGGCGTAATTACCGAGGTGTTCTTCCAGCGCATTTACGAAAGCAATATTTGCGCGCAAACTTGCTCCTGCAAGCTCAGGACGAGTGAAATATTATACTTTGGAAAAAAGAAGAAAATAAAAGCGACATCGCCGAAGCCTTTATCTTGACAGGAGGAAATATCCATAGAGAATATACCATTGGTTTAAATAACCAGGACGCGCGATATTTTCCACGGAATATTCGTTTTCAGAGGCCGATGCTTTGTTTTTGAACGAGCAGATTTATGCCGTCCTTTGACACTTTTCATTCTGACGATTGAAACGGCGTAACTCACTTTCGGCCGGTGGAAAACTGGGAAAACGTCAGCACGAGGCGAAACGACGCCGGAGCGATTTAACGGAATAATTTAGTTGATTTAACGAAAGCCGCGAAATAACAATTTATTTGCATATCAGGCATCCCGTAGGCAGGCGGTATCCGCATCGATCACATGCGAACGAATCTTGTTAAATTCAATTTCCATCATTGTACATAGAGATATCAATCGTGTGTCACTCTCTTAAAAATACGCAATAATATTAAACTGCAAATTGTGTGCACACTGCGTAAAACATTAATAATTTATCAATAATTAAATGATGTAGTCTCGTAAAAATAAAATGTTTTCAAAATTTTGTTTGTGTATAAAGTTCTTTCTCGTAGTCTGTGCATATACATTCGATAAAAAAAAAAAAGAATTTTCACTGTATGTTTATTACATAATTTATATGTTCAAAATTTGTATGGATAACTTTGACGTTATAATAAATTATACTATCTAATATGTATAAATTTCTTTATGAAACGTGATATTTTATGTCGAAACAATATAAACGCGTAATAAAAGATTTATTAGCATATAAAATGAAAATGGTTAAAAGCATTATATTCTATTACAGGGAGAATTATTATTTAACAATGTTATTTTCTATATTGCATGAACTGTGCTATCGCTTTTGATCTATTTTTTCAATCTGCTTTTTTATTATATGTATATGTAACCGCAATTAAAAGCGATATAGAGAAATTCTTTTGCGTGGTTTTAGCACAATAGAATACAAAGGTTGTATTAATCCATGTTTATTTATAATAAAAACTGTAATAAGGATTTGAAAATATTTTAACTTTACGATAAAACTTTATCGGTGTATGAATTGGATTTTTTCAACGAAATTCTCAACTTAGCCCGAAATAACAAATGAGCACGTGCAATTTTAGATAGATGCTTGGAAAAACGCGTAAAATATCATCATTTATGAAATATCACTTTTAAAATAATACGAAACGGAGCAACCAACGGAACAGTGTTTCGACAAACGTAAGTGAAAATTCGCATTTCCGGTGGCGAAAGGAACAATGGTCTCACCCTAGTGAAAGCATCCCGGTTGAAAGTGCACAGGGGTCGTTGTTTCGTCCCTCTTTATTTTCGATTCGCGTTCTCCTGTCGCCCATGGCGTGTGTCATCGCGTACTTTTCTCAGTTCCAAGTACCGCTCTATTGTTGACAACTTCCTCCGTAGCTGTCCTAACGGAGCACATTTCCCCTATTGCGGGCCTACTTTTCGTTGACTCATTCAACGACCCTTACTTCGCAATCTTTAAACGCCCCTCGATGTCTTCTATTCGTATGTAACTCACGTTAATGTAGTAAATTAACACATTAATGTAACAGTAATGTTTCGCATATAAAGACGACATCAATAATTAATTATATTATTAAGCTTGTGACTTGTCATATGTTTCTATATAATAAATAAAATCAATATTGTTGTAATTTTGAATTTTATCGGACATTAATTAAAAACAATTAAAAGTTAATGTTCAAAATATCGTCAATTGTAGTGCTAATTTGAGAACGACTATGTGAGCTCTCAGACGGATAAAATTGAACGGTTCTTGCGCGTCTGATAAGAGAAGAGAAATTAGAGAAATTAGAGTAGATAAGAAACGGAAATCTCTCGTTTTCTAACAATTTCGTTCTAAACGTGTCCATTTAGAGGAAACGTAGTCTTATCAAGTAACGATTTCATGTAATGCAGAAAATAGTCACTGAGTTAGAAAATCGTTTTCATCGATTGACCATTTGCTTTTCCTCATCTCCCCCCTCCCCACAATCTCCTTCTATCGTCTTTTGCTTTTCTCTGCATCAGTACGTATATAACTTGAACACATACATTTTTTTTTTGTTCGCGTAGGTAGATAGATAGGTAGGTATATAAGTATGCTTGATCCGCTGCCAAGAAAGCTCCACCTCGGTTCCACCTATCTCAAATCAAGTTTTCGCTCATATTTTCTCGCCGCCAATATTTCCGCCTTGCTTCCCGCGCTCTACCGGAAAGCTTTGCCCCGGCATATGAAACATCCACCAATATTTCGGGCAAATAATCCCTAGTCACACAGCGCGTGCATTCTCGTAAATTCGAGACCGAACGTAATTTTGGGACTTTTATTGCGTTTTTTATGCGCCTGATTTCCATTTCGAAAGTTCTCTTGCATGGTCGGTTAGTAATGTTCGTAGAACTGTTACGAACTGTTACGAAGTATATAAATTATACAATAAAAATTGCAACGCATACTACTAACGGAAAACATAGACTTTTGGCAAGATAGTTTACAATACTTACGATACTTTGCACGGTAAAATAAAATTTCGAGTCTTGAAAAAATTCTTTATTTAAAAATATTAATAAATTATTTCTGTGTTTTAATTTTTATTACATCTCTATATATTTCATAATCGTAACAATCTATACGTATAAATTGTGTAGAATGTTATTCTCAAAGTCATACATCGAAGTCACACAATCGCGTAAATTTAATTATTATTGAATGCGATATTTTACGTTAATTCTCTAACCGTATACGCTTCCAAATATAGAGACAGATATAGTAGCTGCATTGCAAAATACAAGATCCGCAATACATTGTAGGAATGTATGCGCTATGTGGAGAATGTATGCATAGCGGAGCAGAGAATATTACATTCGCAAAGACAATGAGGCGAAAGCAAACCGCGCGGAAACTCTGTAGCACCGTCAACTTGTCAATCAATCCCTCACTTCGGGAACGCCCAGCCGAGTAATATTATCAAAACCCACTTACGGAGTTATGAAGATTGTACGCAATGCACTTTAGAGTCGAAGCTATACACGTACAAGAGACCACCGCCGGCACTCTCGTCGTGTGACATATAGAAGAGGGGAAAAAGGAGGTGCGAGAGAAGATGGCATCTGTGATGGCATCAGCTTTATGCTTTATGCTTTATGGATGTAGTCTGTATCCGCACGTGACACCGTACGCCCGCGGACATGATGTATGTCCTTGTTTGTTCTACAAATGATAACGTCGCCTTCGGAGCTCTCGGGGAGTTTTCTTGTTCTCGTAACGTAGCGGACGATCGAAGACAAATTCGTTTCTTCTCCAGGTCATATATTCTTCTTGAAAGTAATCCTGGTTGTACATAAAATAAGGTCGCCCCTCCTCATTTATTACGGATCATACATTTATATTTCTGCCACGACACAGTTGACATTGACGTGTACCGTGTACACATTTGAAAATGTGTGGCGATAATGATATTTTTACCCATCGAGTCGTTCAATTCGAAATTTTACATTATTGCAATTGTTTCTATAAAAGATAAAATTAATTTACTTATTGATCTTATATTTTAAAAGAAAAACCTATGTTATAATACTTAAATATTCACGAAAACTTTTTAAAAAGATATATTCAAAAAGATTAAGAATAAACTTTCCGTACTTCACTTTACGCATACAATGTCGAAGTTTGATATTATTAGGATATTTCCTCAAATTTCGTATTATCCGGATTTCAAATCCGTTTTGACATTTTTATTGGACTCTTTGGGTGTACATATATCCGGATTTCAATTGCTAAATCCGGATTTTTCGAATATTCGGATTATCCGGATATCTGGACAATTGAAACGTGTAATGCTTATTTTTGATATAAAATATAAGCAGCTTTCTCTCTCTCTCTCTCTCTCTCTCTCTTTCTCTCCCTCTCTAATAAAGAAACCCACGAAAATTTTGAAAAGAATTAACGAAATTGTTCCTTGCAACCAGCATCTGTAAAAGTGTAAATAAGAAGTCAAAAGATATATCTCGAAGGAAGCCATGTATATCAACGTAATAATTTTATACTACATATATTATATAGAATCACGTTGCTAAAATACAATACGCATCTCCACGTTTGTTTCTTGGAGTAATAATGCCGAGCGACTTTTGACTCCACCAGTTCCTTTCTGCTCATCCTTTTTTATTTTATTTTTGTACAAAGACAAAAGGTGCAGCTACGTTAGAGACAAAAGATAAGCTTTATCTGCATTAAGAGCAACATAGTCGCGTAATATCCTTAGCACAAACAGCAATAGTAGTTCTCTTTGTGGAATACGATGATAAATATGAAAGGTATTTTCATATACTCATCGCTATACTGGTTATATAGAATAAACAATGAAAAAATTTTCGCTAAAACACTATTAATGCAAACTATTAATTATTCAAGAAATGCTTGTAAATCGGTTGAATTATTTACAGCGACAAATTTTTTTTTGTGAATTGTATATTTATTGCGATAGAATTTATCCATTCATTCCATACACGAAATAAAAAAGTATAGTTCAGATTGAATTTTATAAAATAAATATTTTATGCAATAATTGTGTAGTAACAAAAATAATTCAAATATATAAAAAGAATATAAAATAAAATAAGAAGAGTTTATATTTATTATTTTATATGCTGCTAAAAAATATCTCGATAAAATATATACGTCTCATTAAGCATTAATCCAATGCTTATTGTTCTAGATCGCGGAGAATAATATGTATAAAATACAACATCACAACATTTCTGACGGTAACGAGTTACAATCTACGAAGTCGCTGATAGAATTTAAAGTGACGGAGAACATGTTTCGCAACGGAAGCTTACACCTACGCTGCACGGCCTCCATCTCAAACGTTTATGAAAAATCGGCGGACATCAATATCACCGAGGACAAACCGCGTCTCGCTTCTATCACCGGCGTAATATCATCATCATACGATGGTAAGTAGCTATTACTATTCTGTGTTTACTATTCTGATCCTACCCTATTCTGATCTTGTTATCTTTAAGAATCCTTTTTGATCGTTCGAAAAAATAATACTCCATCTCTTATTTATATAAAAAAAAAAATAATTCTACTATTTTTTCTGTTTTTTTTTTCTTTTTATAATTGTATACCTCTATACATAATAATGAAATCGTAAGAATAAATTTTCTCGAAATATCCATCTAATATGGAATCTGGATACATATATGTATATATCAGACATTACAGGAATTATTTTAATTTTTAATATACTGACACATACTGCTTATCTATCTCAATATAATTTAACTTTATAAATTAAATAAATTTGAAAAATTTTTTAGATTTAGTTGAATTATATGATGTAATAATACAAATTATTATTTGTAGACTATGTGAGAATATTTAAAGATTATGACAGATTATAGACATTTCTCGTTTTCTATGTATCATCCTAAAAAGTTTTTGAAATATTCAGCAATCGCAAGCGGATAAATAACACTCATTGAACTTATAATGGGCATAAAAGTTTAACTCACACGCGCATTGTTGTGAAGATCGATGTTTTAAAAGAGAAACGAGTGGCAATGGTAAACAGAAAGGCGTATATATCACAGCAGCGAGAAAAAGAGAGAGAAAGAGAATACTTTCTGAGCCATATATCGGCTCTTCGTCATGACATGGAATCAATGCAGCATCGATAGCAATACGATCAACCATCTCCGACGGTACAAAGCTACGAAACCGGAACGAGCATTAGTTCGATATATCTATTGCGACTGTAGTAGTCGTCAACCGTGCGCTTACGAGTCGCGCGATGCTATTGAACTGAACGAACTTTGTTGATCAAGCTAAATGGGACAGGACAAGCACGCATAAATGCTCTTTCTATGCGTGAGTAACACAAGTCAAACGCGATGAACCGAATCGTGCATTTAATTTTCAAACTTAACGAGGCACAAAATCCCTCTTTTCTTTTCTATGTCTATAATAATATCAATTTTTTATCATATATATTTATTATCTATATATTATTTTATATATTTATTATTTTTTTATCATTATATTTATTATATTATTTTATATATTTATTGGA